TGGTGACCGGGGCGGGCGGGCAGCGGGTACCCAGTGGCACCCCGTCGTGCCCCCCTTTGGCTTAATTAAGTGTGCTGTCTGCACGTGCAAGGTACGGCTGCCCAGTCTTCTCGTGGGGAACCCTCTGCAGAGGTGGGTCTGCAGAGCCAGGTCTGCAGAGATGGGGTGGGGGCCGCCAGGGGAGCAAAGTCCATTCTTGGGGAGGAGCTCTAGGTTGGAGACAGTGTGAGGACCGGCCCTGGGCTCTGAGTCAGCTTCCTGGAGGAAAGGGGAGCCTGCCGGCCTGAATCTAGCTCTGCCAGCTGCTGGCTCCATGTGAGTCTTGGCGCTTCCCGCAGCTCCCAGCCCCGCTTCCCCTCCCACATGAGGCACGACAGTACCTACCTGCAGGGCCACAGAGAGGATCTAAGTTCAGGTATATAAAGCGAGTAAAAGGCCACAGAGGTATTTCATCTGAAGCAGGGAAAGGCGAGGGAAGAGGTCAGAGGCTATGTGCCCCCCTATTTCCTGACACCTCTTACTCAATGGGTCCCTACAGGGGGGCACTGGAGAAGTGCATTGTGAGAAGGTGCAGTGTCCCCGGCTGGCCTGTGCCCAGCCTGTCCGCGCCAACCCCACTGACTGCTGCAAACAGTGTCCAGGTGAGGGGTGGGCACCAAGGTGCAGCATGAGGGCGGGGGACCTCTCGACTGAGTTGGCACTCACTGAGCAATGCCCGGGCCTCGCCTAAGCCAGGGCTCTGAGCGTGGTGGCAAAGGACCTGCAAGTTTTGGAGGGGCCCCAGGGCCCGGTTCTGGCCCCCTTCCATCCACCCAAAGGTGGTGCCTGTGAAGCGCCAGGAACTGCTTGGGGCTGGGGATTGCAGCTACACCTAGCCCTTCTGGGCTGATCCTCCCCCCTTCCCTCCCAGCAGTGGGGTCAGGGGTCCACTCCCAGCTAGCAGACCCCATGCAGGCTGATGGGCCCCGGGGCTGCCGTTTTGCGGGGCAGTGGTTCCCAGAGAGCCAGAGCTGGCACCCTTCTGTGCCCCCCTTTGGGGAGATGAGCTGCATCACCTGCAGGTGTGGGGTAAGTGGGGTGTAGGGGCTTCTCTGAGGTGGGCATGGGGCTTGACCTGGTGGGGGGAGGCCTTCCGAGGGAGGGCAGACTCCTGGGGGTGGACAGCCCTGGAGAGGCTGAAGGCCACCGTGCCCCGTCCTCTGGGGGCCCTCAGCATCTGCTCTGTCCTGCAGCAGGCAGGGGTGCCTCACTGTGAGCGGGACGACTGTTCACTGCCACTGTCCTGCGGCTCGGGGCCGGAGAGTCGGTGCTGCCCCCACTGCACAGCCCGGCGGCGGTGTGAGTGAGGAGTCCTGGGGCAGCAGTTACTGGTGGACCGCGGGGTGCCTGGGAGGGGGTGCCCACTGTGTGCAGCGATGTACCATTCTGCTCCACCCTCACGACGACCTGGCGGGGCTGTTAGTTATTACCTCTGCAAGTGACATTCCCGAAGCTCAGGGGGATCAAGCAAGCAGGCTGTCACACAGCAGGGGCGTGGGAAGCCCTGAGCGCCCGCGGGGTGTGCTGCCCCCAGGGCCTTTCCCCATGCCTCTCATCTTCTCATCCTCTCCCCTCTGTCTCTAGCAGCCCCAGAGGCCTTGAGTGCGCCAGAGCTGGAGAAGGAAGGTGCGGGCCCCTAGGGAGCGGCCGGCTGTGTGACCAAGAGGACAGGCCTGTGCTGGGGGAGGGCTGTGCCGAGGACCCCCTTCTCCTGTGGGGAGACAGTGCCTTTGGCTCCTCTGCTCCGCCTCTTCTCCCTCCCCCACTACCTCTGGGAACCACAGCTCCACAAGGGGGAGAGACAGCCGGGCCAGGAGGCCCTGTCACCTTGACCTCGCCCTGGAAGCCTAACCCCGTTCTTTCTGTGCATAATGTCACTGGCTTGTTGGGACTTTTAATTTATCCTCACTCAGCACCAAGGGTCCCCACTCCACTCCTGCTGCCCCTGAGCTGAGCAGAGTCATTATTGGAGATTTTCGTATTTATTAAAGCCCTTTTTTTTTTTTTTTCAGTCTTTGAGTTTAGGTTGACTCTTTCTGGCCAGGGGCCTGAGTGGCCTCCAGTGGAGAAGGGTGTAAGAGCAGGGGTGACAGAGAGGAGCTGTGCCCCTTGGGGCTCCCCCTGACCTTGGGGAGCTGGCAGAAACCTGGAGGGGAACAGGGTGGTGGCATGCCTGGATTCCACAGGGGGGCTTGGGACTGTCCTTGGGAAGGACTAGGGCCTGCCAAGCCAGGCCGGCCAAAGCAGGATTTACACTCACATTTACACTCACGCTCACGCTCCTGTGGTTGGCCTACATGCTGACTCCATGTCTGAAGTTGCTCCAAAGACATGAACGTGCCACCAGCCTTCACCTTCTTTGTCCGACGTGAGGCAAACACTTTCCTAGGATTCTCCTTTCCTGGGAACTAACTGCTCTGGACCAGTTCTGGAGCAAATCCAGACCAGAGCGAATCGGGATCCCCGGTGGCTCAGGTCCTGGCTCAGTTTATCTTGAGACCAAGCGATGTATGGAATGACACTGGTGCCCCTCCCCCTCCGCCTCCCATTCCTGCATCAGGGACTGGGCGTTCCACAGGCCTCAGGCTCTAGGAGGCAAGAGAGCAGATGGGAACTCTAGCAGACCGTGCACCTGCACCCCCGTGCACCGGCACAGCTGTTTTGCTGTCAGTGGTGGAGAGTAGATGACCGGGAAGGGCGGGACAGAGGACCACAGCCTTCTTAGTGTTGGGTGTGCTGCGTGCGGTTGAGAAGTGGCAGTCTCGGCTTACTGAAGCACCGAGTCCCGGCTCTGCTGTTAACTAGCAGAGGGATTTAACTCCCAAGATCTCTGTTGCCTTTCTCCTTCCTAGGAGTCCATCAGAACACGCCCATTCCACAGCTCGGCACCCGGCACATACAAATGGGGCCTTTGAAAAGTACATGGAAAGTGAATATTGGGGGGCCAGACAGTAGCAAGGAGGTTAAGGTGGCTGGATCTCACATGGACAAACGTGGTTCGAGTCCCAGACCTGGCAGCCTGAAAAATACCTTGGGTGCGTGTGCTGCATGTGTCTGCCTGAAATTTCAAGAGAAGGGATTGCAGCATGGTCATCCGCGGATGGAGGGAGCTTTCTCACTTTCCTTCTCCCTCTGTCTCACCTGGTTGAGCACATGTGCCCTATAGCAAATAATAGTAAGAAGGAAAGTTACTGATAGGAAAAAGCTGCAATGAGTTCAGAAACTTTTTGCACCAAAATAAACCAATGTAGTTCCCCCTTTCCACGAACTTTTTGAAGCCCCCACATATTAACTGGGAAAGACCCTCCGAGGTGGGGCTTCTGGAGCTGGACTGGAGTGAAAGTCAGGGAGAGCTGTGGGAGGGAGTGGCCTGGGCTCCGGTTCCCTGTGGCATGATATAATTTTGAGTGATCAGGGAGCGCGGTGGGACCGGGCTGGGGATGAGGGGCGGCAGGGCGCCATAGCTGGCTAGAGCCCTGGCTGGCAGGAGTGGGCGAGGGCCCGATAGGGATGAAGAAGCAGCCGGTTTCAGTGCGAACTAAGCACAGCTCCAGGTGCCGCTAGATGGACGTTTGCTCCCGAAATGGATGCACCCACAATAGTGAGGAAGTGGCTGGGAAGAAGGCTGAGAAAGAAACGTCGCCCCTTAGCGTTGAGTGTGTTACCGGGGCTTACCACACTAGGGAAGGTCAAGGCCGTGGGCAGGGAGTTGGGTAAGTCCCCCGCAGGCTGACCTGGTGGGCGCCATGGGCAAGGGCCCCTCCCACAGGCCCTGAACTGCAGGTGTCAGAGCGGTGTCTGAGCGCATCGGCCGGGCAGGGAGAGGAGCTAATGGCCCCAGGCCGAGCACGGTCCTCTTTAGACGAAAGTCCTTGAAAGCCTTCCCCATCCTAGTCTACATTCGACCCTCACTGGTCAGCCCAGGCCCTGCCGGAGCCACCCGCAGTGGGGTGATGGTCTGGGGAGTCCGGCCCCATGTGAGAGACTGCATGTCAGAAGTTTTGGCATGGAGACCTCAGAAGGGCACCTCATCTATTCCTCATTGGAGAACATGTTCCCTTTCTTTTTTGCTATAGGGGGTGTGTGAGCTCGCTGGAGAGAGAGAGAGAGAGAGAGAGAGAGAGAGAGAGAGAGAGAAAGTGAGAAATCACCCCCAGGGGGATGGCCACGCTGCAGTCCCTTCTCCTCCAGTCTCCTCTTGGGATTTTGGGCACACACGCAAATATGCCTGGCGTGATTTTCAAGCCACTGTGTCCAGGACTCGAATCATGCAGTTAGCCATGGATGATCCAGTGTCTTCACTTCCATGCTACTGCTGGGCCTGGCCTATTCTCTCCCTTCCTCCCTCCCTCCCTCCCTCTCTTTTTCTTTCTTTCTTTATTTCTCTTTCTTTGTCTTTCTTTCTTTCTTTCTTTCTTTCTTTCTTTCTTTCTTTCTTTCTTTCTTTCTTTCTTTCTTTCGAGGTTTTTGCTATAGGGCACATGTACTCACCAGAAAAACAGAGAGAGACAGAGAGACAGAAAGCGAGAAATCACCCCCCAGGGGGGATGGCCACGCCACAATCCCTTCTCCTCCATTCTCCTCTCAGGATCTTGGGCACGCACGCACACGCGTCTGGCATGAGTTTAAGCCACCGGGTCCGGGACGCAAACCACGGTCAACTACATGGGAGTCCAGCGACATAGCCATTATGCCATCTGCTGGCCAGCCTGTTCCCTTTCTAAGAACACAAAACAATAATAAATCCCAAGGAAAGGCCTATCTTCCTGGGTAGAGTATTCCAGAGTCTCAAAACAGACACTGGTAGGGTTTACACTGGTCTCGAAGCCTGGGGTCAGTCGGGCCTTCGTGATGCAGAGGCTCTGACTGGGCCCCTGAGCTTCTCTAGCGGGAAGAGGCAGACGGTAATGCAGAGGCGCTGCGTGGCTGGAGAAATGGGCGGTTCTGATCTGCCTGCTTTTCCTTCACGCAGTCCTCTACTCTGCCACGTGCCATCTTGAAGCCACCTTTATATTCCTGGTGACACCCTTTCCCACTCTACATGCCAAGTCCAGGTTTTGGTATGTCGAGCAATGCGCGGCCGCCAGTGAGGGGCTCCGGCAGCCATCCGCTCAGTTTTGGCCCAGCAGTCACCGGAGCAGTGCGGGGGTGTGAGAGATTGATGCAGTGGCTTCGGAGCGCAGCTTTCAAGTCCTCACTTGGACGTGTGCAAGTGCCACCAGGCAGAGGGAGTGCCCGGGACTACTGTGATGGGGAGTCCGGGCCTGCACTCTGCTCTCATGGCAGCTGCCCCCCGGCCAGGAAAGCTGCGTTCCAAAGGAGGGCTGACCGCTTCACCCGAGTTTCCGAACAGCTTCTCTTGCATGCCACTCCGTAGTCTACTACAAAAATGACTGGAAATAAGGAAACAGGGGAGACACTTCTGACGCCACCAAAAATGACAGAGGGGCCTGATACGACTGACACGAGGGAGCCTCGCCGGACGTGCGGCAAGGGACACAGTTAGCTGGCGTGCCAGAAATGCGTTGTCGCGCGTGGTAAGAGGGAGGGTCGCGGTGACAGTGCTCCGGGAATGAGCCGCTCCTTAGGCCTCGTTTGGCTTTGATGCATGTTTTCATGCACAAAGGGGGCTGCCGGAATTTTCTTTCCTTGTCTGTGTAATGGGAAATCGTTGTGAATCATTGTGAACGGAAGTGCACGAAGAAGAAAGAATACTCGTCTGTTACTCCAACCTCTGGATAACTGTCCCCCCGCCAAAAAAATTCCCCGAGTAGTTTTCTTTTTTTTGATTTGTTATTATTTTTTAATTTGACCAAAGAGACAAAGAGAGAGAGAGAGCAAGAGAAGGGGGGAATGAGAAAGTAAGCCACCAGGTCTGGGACTCGAACTGTGGTCAGCCATCTGGAATCCAGCACCTTAACCGCCATGCCACCTGCCGGCCCACCCTGAGCAATTTTCTGTTTTACCTAAAACACTGGGTCAGAGCCGCAGCGTGGTGGCCAGGGACTGCACAGAGGAAGCTAGACCACACATGACAAGCAGGTTGTTTTTTTCTTTTTTGGGGAGAGGTTTTTGCTATAGGGTGCGTGTGCTCACCAGAAAGACAGACAGAGAGAGAGAGAGAGACAGAAAGCAAGAAATCACCCCCCAGGGCGATGGCCATGCCACAATCCCTTCTCCATTCTCCTCTCGGGATCTGGGTCCTGGCTTGAGTTTAAGCCATCGGGTCCAGGTCTTGAACCGTGGTTGACTACATGGGAGTCCTACAACATAGCCATTATGCCAACTGCTGATTCCAGCAAGCAGGGTTTGAGTCCTGGCTCTGGCGACTTGAAAAACACACTGAGTGTGCACGTGTGCCAGGATCCTGACATGGGAAGTATTGGAGGCAAAAAGAATTGAGGGAAAAAAGAACTGAGGCATGACCAGGCCCTTTGGAGGGTGCCCCCCCATACATGTGCATGCACCCTCAGGCAAACGAACACATAAGAAAACCCCCACTATTCAGTTGTCCAGCCCAGGCCCAGGCCTAAGGCCCTCGTCTTGACCCTGTAGAGTCTCAGTCCCCTGTGACGTGGCTGCACTGTCCCATCCAGCATCTGCCTGACAGCCCGGGACTGCAGCACACGCACCGCCGCACTGACACTTAAACAGTGTGACATTTTGCATTGAAAATGGCCAGGGAGGCACAAAACAAGACATCTGAAAACGTTCTCAATAGCTCAGAAAATATGGCAAATTGGCAACCAGCGACTTGATTTTTAGCAAACTGACTAGCCCAGCCATGGGGTGCCAACTCCCCAGCCGACGCCTGTTGAACGGGCCTGAAGGTTGTCCTGGCCTGTTGTGAGCTGCAGGGACTGGGCAGTGGCGGTGTCTCCTGGCAAGCCAGGCCACTGCTGCCTGGGAGGAGTCGCCTTGGCACGGCTGGCTCATCCGGGAGCCACAGCCTGCACAGCTTGTGGGATGCAGCTGTCCCCTCTCTGGAGCCCCTGTCCTGCCGAGGTCCCT